TGTTGGCTTCTCGAGGATGGAGCCGTTGATAGGGTTGGTGGTGAGTCCACCGATCGAGGAGACGAAGAAAACTATTCCGCTACGGAATCCAATTTCTGGAAGAGGGGAGATCTGAGCAACGAGTGGTGCAATCAAAGAGACGTATGCGCCAGAGCAGAAACCAAACAAGGCTGCAAAGGCAATGATGCCGTTCTGCGAGTTGCAGGGGATCCAAAGGGCAAGGATCCAGACACCAGAAAGGAAACCGACAATAATAAAGATGTTGTAGCGGCCCATCTTATCACCAAGAATTCCTGAGCCAATCCGGCCAAAAAGACTGGCTGCGTTGAGGATGGGAATCAAATACTGAACAAGGTTGGGGTCCACGCCAGCATGAAGGGCCTGAACGGGCAGGTAGTCGATAGGAATGAAGATTCCGAAGGTGAAGAAGAAGAATCCAAGCATACAGAAGATGAATTCTGGCTCGTGGAATGGCCTGACCAACTGGGCGCGGCTGACCTTCTGAGGGTTGGGAGGGTGAATCGATCTGACTGTAAGGTTGGCGATAATGAGGAGTCCGAGGATCATAAAGGCGCAGATTCGCATGGACCACCCAAATCCGACTTGCTTGATGAGGCGGGTTACCATGATGGGGAAGATGACGCCACCGATACTCGAGCCGGTTGAAAGGATGCCAAAGGCAGCTCCTCTATTGCTGTCAAACCATCCGTGAATCGTCGATAAGGCTGAATATGTTAGCGGGTTTCATTATGAGGGTAAGTACAAGGCTTACCTGGCTGGAAGATAGCTGAGACACCGATGGCAGAGCAGACACCCTGAGACAGAAGAATCTGGTAGTACTCGGTACTGATCGACGCCATCATGATACCAAAGACATGCATGAAACTTCCAACAAAAATCAACCACCGCGGTCCGTAGCTGTCGTAAAGCTTTCCGATAATCGGACCCATCCCCATGATGAAGAAGATCTGCAGCGAAGGGATCCATGCGATGGTACTCGACGAATATTGCTTCAAAAGATCATTCTGGTAGTATTCCTGAAAGGCGCCAACACCTAGATAGATTAATCAGTCAACGCCACTGAAATACACAACATGCCACTTACTGTTGATCCAGCCAAAACTGCAAAACGAGGTACACCAAGCGCCAAGAACAACAAGCCAGGCTGTGAGACCACCATCAGGCGCGCCACTTCCAGCTGGTGCAGCCGCAGGCTCAGGCTGTGTGGTACCATCCTCAAGATCAGACTTTTCGTTGCTGTAACCAACCTGGTTCTGAAGCGTGAGCTCCGAGTTGCGAGGTGACGAAGGTGCGGTGGTTTGTTGAGCAGCCATGATGAGAGATGCTGGTTTATCTGATCGAGGGTTGCTTTGAGTTTGAGGCTCTAGTTGGTGACATGGGCGTCGCGATTTATAAGGTCCAGATGCACGGGAGATCTGAGCCTAAAAGGGGTCCATAGCACACCCTATGGAGCTCCATATTCACGATCATTCGTTCCATTCACTTAATTTCGCGACGCGAGACTCCCAAAGGCCGAAAATGGTGTATTGTTTGCAGCCGAGCTCGAGTCTCTGATTCGCTCCCTCGGTCTCGGAGCTACCATCTCCACCGAGACCGACGCTAGCCTCTCGGCAAGATCGACCACAGCGAATTAGAGCTCGTCGTTGATCTCACCATCTTGAATATCCCGGTCACGGAGATAATCCCCGGTGATCTCAGCTTACAAAGACCGAATCCTCATCCGTAAAATACCACAGCTCTCGGCCTGTTAATAATCAGTCGGTGTAATACCACCGCATCATGTCTTCTCGGCCCCGGACTCGGTCGTGCGCCGTATGTCATCGCCGAAAAGTTCGCTGTGACAAGAATTTGCCTTGTTCGCAGTGTATTCGGTCTGGCTTTGAGTGCTCGTATTCACCTGTTGGCCCGCCTGCAAGACGGGCCAAGAAGACAACCATCAATGATGTTGCAAGTCGGATCTCGCAGATGGAGAAGACGATTGAGGCTTTCAAGGCTGGACAAGAAGTATCACCACAACCGACTGTGTCTGCAAGTTCAGTGACGTCTGGGAATAGTGTTCCAACACCGGCTAGTACAGCTACAGACGCAGAGACCAGAGAGAGGGTCAGAGGTTCTCGTGAGGGTCTGTTGCTCAATAAGGGAACAAGGAGTCACTATGTAAATGAAGTCCTCTTCTCGCGGGTCATCGAGCAGGTAAAGACATTCCAGTAGTTTGTATATCTCGCGCTAACACATGCCCAGGAAGACGACGTGCGAATGGCCTTGGCAACGCCCAGAGAGGAGCCGCATCACGAAGTCGACTCTCCTATATGTCACTTGAATCCCATGGGATGGCTATCAGCCGGTATAGCATCAGTATCTACCGCCATTTACCATCCCCAAAGACGTGTGGCTATTCGACTATGGAAAGTCTTTGTTGATGGCGTTGATCCATACGTCAAAGTTCTGCACATCCCTACCGCCGAGACAACACTCTACACCGTCATAAGTAACCCTACTAAAGCTTCAAACGAAAACTTGGCTCTTTGTTTTGCCATCTATTTCGCTGCTGTCACAGCCACGCCCTCCAATGAGGCGCTCGACGTTACGGGGGAGGATAAAAAGCAAGCTCTCCTTCGGTACAGGATGTGTCTTGAGCAATCAATGGCCCAAGCAGACTTTCTCGAGAATCCTACCATCGCTCTTCTTCAGGCAACGGCTATTTATGGGGTGAGTTCGTTGATGAAAATCAAAGGCATTCGCTGACCCGATACAGGCCGCCATGCGGGTCCATAACTCATGTCGAGCTGTCTGGATCATGAATGGCCTCGCACTTCGAGCCGCACAGTCAATAGGTTTGCACAGAGACGGCAGTAAGCTCGGTCTATCACCCTTTGAGTCAGAAATGCGACGTCGAATATGGTGGTACTTCCAAGAGCGAGATGGAAGAGGCGCCGAGGACTATGGGCTGCAGAATCCATCAGCCTCTAATACAGTTCACAGTGTTGAGCTACCGCGAAACTTGCATGATAGCGACATGTCCCCTGGGATGAAAGAGCTTCCACCCTCAAGGCCGGATTGGACGCGGATGACGCTGCAGCTGTGCTGCAACCAGTCATCGCAGGCTTGGGCTCATCTATTCCATATGAGTTGCTCTGCGGATGGCTTACCAGATGAAGATGTACGGAGGCGAGTCATCAAAGATGCCGTCGATAAGGTTGAAGGGATTTTGCAGCGCTGCAACCCTGTGATACCAGAACAAAGAATGACGATCCGAACTGCACGTCTGATTCTCTGCAAAGTCGATGTAGTTTCTCGTCGCCAATGGCAGATCCTCCGATCACCCGATGACCAACCTCCAATGGCCACAGAAGCCGAACTCACTGAGGCAGTGGAACTCCTCGAGCTCTCCAACTGCATGTGGCAGGACGACGACCTCATAACCTACCAGTGGCTCGCCCGCTCATATCCCCAATACCACATAATGCTCTTCATCCTGCGCCACCTGTGCGTGTGTCCGCGCGGAGATCTTGCCAAGCGAGCTTTTGCAGCTGTAGAGATTCATCTTGCGTTTTTCAAGACGAGTGGGAATGTGCCCTTGAATGGGCTGAAGTGGACGGTCCTCACGACGTTGAAGGAGAGAGCGACCTTGTTGATGCAGCGGGTTGAGAGGGAGAGTGCGGGTGTGCAGTGGAATGAGAGTCAGCGGATGGAAATGCAGGGGACGAATGGGCAGGGGATGCAGAGTGGAAGCGAGGTTGCTGTTCCGGATTGGAATATGATTTTGGAGGAGTTTCCGTTAGACATGGAAGACTTTTCGTTGATTTTCTGAGGAGTAGGGCGGACACTTGTATGATTACGTGTAGTAGTATGACTTGAGCCAAATAAATAATCACTACCTAAACAAGAATACTATGTTTGATGTCAAGCAATACCGGCGTACATCGTCTTGAAGACGGTCCACCGTATTACCACCAGTGCCCTCCATTTAAATTTGAATTCTTCAACTCATGTCCGTACAATACACCCAAACTTGGCCGAGGTTTGAGGCGTTTGTCTTTTCCAAATTTTTAGAAAGTGTTTCTTCTTCTTGCACGTCTGCGAGTTCCTATCTTGTCAGCTCTTTGTGGTTTGGCAAAGTTATACAGGACTTACGTGCGGCCCATCGAAAGTAATGCTGTTGCCAAAGAGAAACGAGTCCCACGATCAGTTGAAGGATGCCGAATATGATGGAGACAACAACTTCAGCAGGAAGCATTGGTTGAGTCATGGCAAATTAATCTTGTTTGTATTGCTGTTAGAGATGGTTTGGTTCCTCCTATGCTTGCTGAGACAAAGTGAATGAGTTCTTTGAACTTATAAAACAAACCAATGTGAAGACAATCCTAACGAATTCGCATACGACGCAAAGAAAGCGTAGCCATTTTTAATAATATTTTAGAAGAATAGTAGTTTTGCATTTGCACAAGCGAATATGGCTTCCTTGCATGAGGACCAGGTCTGGGGTGCCAAGAAAACTTCTCCCATTAAATCAGATGCTAAAATAAACTGACCTGAAGGCTCACTAAACCTGCCTCAATCTTTTTATCGCTTAGAACACGGAGTAGAGGGCCTAAGCTTTCTTCTTAGGACAGCTGTGCCGTGTTTATTAGTGGCTGTTGGTTGCTTGCATGACACCCATGTCTCAGCACAAAATTGTAGTTTTGTTCTCCTCGACGATTGGATGGAATTCCTGTGGCGTACATCCATGTCAAGAATTGTAGTTTTGCAAAATCCCTGCTTCACCGCAAAATAGTAGTTTTGTAAAATATGATGAGGCTGACTCTTTGGTGTTGACCGCCCATGGGAGCCATCTTTTCTCCTTTTTGTTTCTTTAAATTTATTCACTACGCCGCTCTCGCTCTTCCAGTCTCTATTCATTCTATCCTTCTTTTATTAAAGGTCTCTCTCGACAGTAGCGGCCAATTCAAGGTTGCTGCGAAGTGTCACCAATACTCACTATGGATCCCTCTTTAACACCTCCAAACGATTTCAGTGGATTCCACGATTTTGGTCACCCATTTCCTGGCACCCACCTACCTCCTAGTTTCGAGATCCCAGCTCCTCACGAACAGGCTCTTGATGGACAATTTTTCGCAGACCAGAGCCATTCACATGCTCATCCGAATCCGTTTACCGACCTTTACATTCAAGAGCTCCAGAATGTCCCCTCTTCTGACAACATGGATGGTTTGGGGGCCGCCGCCCAAATTACGCCTACCCCTACACCGGGCCCGCCCCGAAAGAGTAGGAAGAAAAAGGCCCCGACTCTACGTGATGAAGACTTTGAACCATTTAAAGACCGAATCCTCGAACTCTATGAGACGAAAAAGTTGTCACTTGAGAAGGTTAAAAGCATGATCGAGGAGGAATTCGGCTTCACTGCTCAGTAAGCGATTTCATCCTTGAATCGAGACAGACTCGTGACTTACTAATATGTGCCAGGCCACGACAGTACCAGACTCGTATAACCAAATGGGGCAAAGACAAGAATATCAAGAAGTCTGAGATGACAGCTATCGCCAGAAAGCATCAGCAGAGGGAGATTCTCGAGACTGACAAAAGGAAGCTGCGTTTCACGGTCAGAGGTAGAGAGATTGACGCAGGTAAGATCGACCGATGGATGGACAGGAACAATGTCCCACGAAATGACCTGTATGCTCCGAGTCCTGCAGCATGTAAGTCAGAACCGCTAAGTCCTAGAGTCAATACAGCTGACTTGAGATACTAAAGCTACCCCATCCGCAGTCGATTGCAGAACCATTTCTGAGAGAGGTTCCCTAGCCCACAGTCCAGCCTTATCAGAAATGAGCCTCACCTTTTCCACTGGTGGCATCACGCAAGTAGCTCAAGGTCCAATGGCATCTTCTCCCGCACTCTCCGTACGAGGGATAATCCAAGGTCGCGGCAGTACTTTTACCGGACAGAGTCCAGCTCCTTTCTATCGAGCTCTTCCATCCCAACTCCCGGCTTCTGATCCATCAGCTACAAGCTCTGTTCGTCCATCGTCAAATTCTACGTTAGCCCCACAGCAGTATCGCTACATGCAAGCTGATGAAGATCGTCTACGATCAGAACTATCTGTGGCAGAGACCTTGTTCGGCTTCGAGCATGTTGAGACCCTCCATATATTGACAATGCTGAGTGTCGTTCTTATTAGACAAGGAAGAGACAAATCCGCCGAAGAAATGATTCGTAGAGCGGTTGCAGGCTATCAGAAGACAGTGATGGGTGACGATATTCGAACTCTCGATGCTTTGGAACTCCTGGGGCGAGTTCTAAAATTTCAGGGCCTCTATCGCCAAGCCTCAAAGCTCCTGGAAGAATTACTTGATACCAAAAGGGTGGCTCTTGGCGACGAGCATCGATCCACTCTGTCCTGCATGGCTCTTCTGGCAACGGTGTATTTGAACCAACACCAGTGGGGCAAGTCTGCTTTGCTTGCTGAACGAGTGCTAGAAATATCAAAGAGGATATGGGGTGAAGCGGACGACATTACGCAGACAAGCATGGCGGCCCTGGGGTATGCATACATGCACTTGGGGCGATTAGAAGAGAGCAAGCAGCTGATAGGACAGGCTATCGAATTAAGCAAGAATTTCTTTGGGGAGGAGCATCATAAGACACTGAATACCATGCCCTACCTGCAAGCTTTATATACACGACAGAGTGATTGGGGTCAGGCAGAGGCGATTGCAATGCAGGTTAACAACGCATACATGAAAATATTTGGCGAAGAACACCCCATAACTTTAGCCGCTAGGGCAGACTCGATTGCTATATATTTGGGGCTAGGACAATCAGAGAAAGCTGAAGAGGCAGGAGAGGAAGTGCTAGAGATAGCGAGAATACTTGGAGAGAGTCACCCTCTTACACTGCAAATTAGAAGAGAACTAATGTATGTATACGAGAAGCAAAATAAATATGGAAAGGCTGAGGAGCTCGGGAGGTTTCTCAGAAGATAAAAGAGGGCAGACGGGTGGGTATTGAGTTAAGGTAGTTTTCCAGGACTATAGGAATCTAAAGCCCAGCACTACAAACAGGAGCATCAATCGAATTGGAGAGCTGGAGTTTTCAAGTCCAGCTAGGAAAAACTCGCCACGTAATATAATCCGTTATTCTCATATGGTAATGATGTGTCAAAGTTGCAAAGCAGCAAGAAAGATGGGACACGCGACAATAAGCAAGACGTAGTAGCTCTCTATATTCAATGTTGCGAAAAGGTCCCGACTGTTTTGCATTCAGCAATGAAGCGATTAGCTGTGAGGAATGCAGGCTAGCGCCTGACGAAGGCGATTGAGAGTGTCGATGTAATGCTAACAGATGCTGATGTTGAAGTCGATGTTTAGACCGCCCTACCCAAAGTTTATCGTCAACGCCTCCCGTGTATGGGTGGGTATATCGAGATACAGTTGAGACTACCCTGTAAATTCGGCATAACCAGGTGATAGCACGTTGGCAGAGATTTTTACTGTAGGAAAGCGTTTGATCTTTAGAATTAGTCAGATATCGGTATAAACGATGTTTTAATATCGCCTCATTTTCACGAATCTCTTCAAATAATTCTGTAGGGCTGCTTCAGTTGCATAAGCGCTCAGCCATTCCTCCACCGCTAGAGCCAATTGGGAAGGGTTCCCTTTTTTGGCTGCCGTCCCCTCTCGGCAGAGCGAAGCAGGCCCAGGCCATTCCATGGCAACCAGCCAATGCCAAATCTCAGATGAGCGGGGACTTGTTTTGATCTGGTTCTGGCCTAGGGGAGGAAAGAAAACTCAGGACCTTGACCCTAAGCGATAAAAGTACTTAGGTAAATCTAGCCTAAACTTAGGGGATTCTTTACTAAGTTTATTTTGGCACCCTACATCAAGGTTCGGTGCTTTCTTGCCCCCTGCGGCTGGCCTGGACCTTGATTCAGAGCCTCCACCTCCACTGTCTCTCTAATCTGCCCAAGCACTCCATCCCGCCCATTACCATCCTTGAATGTTTGGTTATCCATCTTTATCCATGCCTCCCTTCGTCTCTTGACTTGTTTTGGTCACATATCATCCGCCAACTTTGTTCGAGTCTTTGTTTTGGCTGATAGACTATTTCTTGTATTAGCACCTCGACTCAAGTCCCTTGCCTCGATTGCGTCACGACATCTCGACGTCTCCTTGTTGCCTGCTGTGCGCGTCCTGTTGTGACACTATCATCTCAACGTTTTTAACCGCCAGGCTTACGCCGCCCACGCATACACATCACATCCCATTTCATCTCTGACCGCTGTCTCGCGCTCAACTGTCTTGCCGCCAGATCATCCCTCGAAGATCGAATTGCTACATCAACAGGGGCCCAAGGCCTCGAAGTTCCCAATGTCGAATAAGAACGAGGCCTTGTCCTCGATGGATCCCTTCTCACCTGCACATCAACCCGATGAGGGTTACTCCGAAGATCCTCTCACACCAACCGTCAATCAAGAGTTATCGACCGCTCTATCGACTGCTCTTGCTACGCTGCGTTCTCCCTCCGACTTGAGCACATGGCTTGTCGCGAACTCGTCGCTTCTGCCCCTCGAGGTCAGAACAGGTACGTTGTGTTGATTGAATTGCTGGGGTCTGTTTGCTGACTGTTGACAGAACTGACCATGGCGTTACTCGACAACTTGCCCACATCCGTCATCGCCGAGATCGTCCACCGATTGAATCCAAGACTTTACATCGACTTTATTCAATATCTCCCCGCTGAGATCTGTCTTAAGATTCTAGGTTTCCTCGATCCTGTGTCCCTCGTAAGCGTCACGCAGACATGCCGCGCCTGGTACGAATTGGCACTTGACCGAAAGCTATGGGAGCGTCTATACTATATGGAGGGGTGGAAGACAATCATGAGCGAGATCGAAGCCTGCGAGACTAAGGTCAACAACGGCCTCGACCACTCGATTCGTCACCTCAATCGACTCCAGTCGATGCAGGATGCCCACCCCAACAAGATTCGTGCTGTTGTCAATTCGGATGACGACCTCGAGATGACAGATCGTGACCGCACACCTGGCCCCAGCGAGACCTTGGCCGGTGGGAGCATGTTCGGTAGCCCTTCTTCGTCATTCTCGTCGAGTCGACCTGCGATCGTGCCCATGGGCGAGATGGACCTTGATGGTCTGTCGAGTAGAAACACGAGCTTGGATCGAACACTTTCGTCATCATCCGACAGCAGGGGAAAGCGTAAAGAACCCAGCGAAGATACCGAGTCCTCTCTCGCTTCAATGTCACTGGCTGATGCCGCCAACACATTACCACCGTCATCATTGTACATCTGGGATGTGGGTCGATCACGATATCGTATCAACTGGCGCTATCTGTACGGCATGCGACGAAAGTTGGAGGCGAATTGGGAGCTTGGAAAATACACCACTTTCCAATTTCCTCATCCCAATTTCCCCGAGGAAGGACATCAGGAGTGCGTTTACGCTCTACAGTTCGACAAAGACTACTTGGTGAGCGGTAGCAGGGATCAGACCATGCGTATCTGGAATGTTCGCACCCGCCGACTTGTCCGACCACCTCTGACGGGACACATGGGCTCTGTCCTGTGTCTCCAGTTCGATGCTGACCCCGAAGAAGATCTCCTTGTTTCTGGAAGTAGTGACTCCAACGTCTTCATTTGGAAGTTTTCGACTGGTGAGCTGGTGCAGAAACTAACAAGAGCTCATCACGAATCCGTTCTCAATGTGCGCTTTGATAAACGAATTCTGGTTACATCTTCCAAGGATAAGACAATCAAGATCTTCAACAGGCGCCCGTTGAGACATGGCGATTTGGGCTACAACGGTGGCGATCTGGTCGGCCCAGTGCCTGTTCACCTGCGAAGGTACGGTTATGAGCCGGACCTTTCCCAGGAACTTCCCGTCAAGCCTCCATTCACCATGATCGGTCGTCTGGATGGACATAGTGCTGCCGTAAACGCCATTCAAGTTCGTGACGAGACCATTGTTTCAGTATCGGGAGACAGGCATATCAAGATATGGAGTTGGCCAGATCAGGCCTGTACTCGGACGATTCCAGCACACGACAAGGGAATCGCGTGCGTGGAGTTTGACGGGCGCAGGATTGTAAGTGGCAGCAGTGACTGGGAGGTCTGCATTTTTGATGCACCTACTGGCCTTAAGGTTGCTCAGTTGCGAGGACACGCCCACCTGGTGCGTACTGTCCAGGCGGGATTCGGTGATCTGCCGTACAGCACAGCGGAAGACTGGGCGGAAGCCAAGGCGGTTGATGCTGAGTACATGCGCGCGCTTGAGGCTGGAGAGATTGATAATGCCATGGATAGGAGGCATAGGAGAGACCGTCGGGCAAATGCTGGAAGCTCTCGACCTCAAGATGTTCAGGCATATGGCGCCAAGGTACCCCCTGGAGGTGGTGGAGGCAGAAAGTATGGTCGCATTGTGTCTGGTTCCTACGATCAGAGCATTATCATCTGGCGACGCGACAAGGAAGGTGTTTGGAAGCCCGCAATCCACCTTCGACAAGAAGAGGCTGCAGCAGCCGCCCAGCGTGAGGCTGCGGCCAGCTTGTCGAGCGCAACGTCGAACGTCGCGATAGCCGGATCTCTGGCTAGTAGGTCTTCACATGCATCCACAATCGTGCCTCGATCACCGCCTACGAGCGGCACTCCTCTCGGGCCTTTGATGCTGCGCGATCACCATGGGGATACCCAGCGAACGGCAAACTCATACCAAGTGCTCATCGACCAGGCAGTACCCCTTGGGCCCAACTCGTTACAACATGCGCTTGCAACATACCCGATTGCGCTGGCTCACCATTCCTACCTACAAACAACCATTGAACGCGAAACGTCGCCTTTGATCCGAGCCCAGCTTAGAGGGGTGGTAACGGATGCTTTGGCCAATCTCCAAATTCGACAAATGCCGATGCGACAGCAGTCGAGTTCTGGTAGTTCTCACATGTCCAGTGATAGCGGCCGCACCAACCCGAGATCCGGTCAAGCGCCTCATGCGGTACCCGTTGCAGGAGGGCCAGCTGCGCAACCTCCAGCTAATAACCATGCACAAGGTGCGCCTCCTGTACAGCCAGCTCAACCTCCAGTTCACAATGGCCATCATGCAGGCCATCATCCTCATATCGCCGCGGCCGAGAACACGTCAGCACGAGTCTTCAAACTACAATTTGATGCGCATAAAATTATTTGCTGTAGTCAAACTCCAACGATTGTTGGATGGGATTTCTGTAATAAGGATCCAGCATTGGAAGAAGCTGTTCGATTCTTTGCAACAGTCGACTAGATCTGTAATTCTGAACCATAAATGTATAAATCAGAAAGCATTCATTTGAGCGAGGGAGTTGGATTGTATGGGCTTGGCAGCGTCTTTATCGAGAATAACTGCATAATCCAGGAGTTTCACTGGCGACAGTACGGTTGGATGCCTTGTGTGTTCAAATGCGTACTAGATACCTTCGGATACTCAGGATCAATGTTGTTCAAGTAGAAAATACAAGTTTAATGCATTCATGACAATAATGAAGAGCGAAATGATGTGCTTGGGTGACCCTACGAACCTAACCAACGCCGTGACAAGTAAAATCCATGTAGAAATCTCCGAGAATTCCACTATGATATGCAACGCCGTTCGTTAACCAGCAACCTGCTTCACCTTGTCCTCAGTCTGAGGAGGCTCGTCCACAAACTCTGGCACGACCTCATCCTGCAGGAAACCCGGCACAGCACCACCCATCTCATGCTCCATCTCAACCTCCATCCCCAACGCCTCCAACTCAGCATCCAGCTCATCCTCCTCCACATCCTCAGGGATATCATAACTCCTCGCCAAACTCTCCTGAATCTCGTTACCCACATCCATCAGATCCGCCATCTCATCCTGCAACCTCTCAATCTTGTCGATATCGATCTTGCCGTACTGCTTCTTCAGCTCCTTATTCGTCGTCTTCATCGCATCCACCTGCGTCATCACGTTCTTCAGGTTGTCCTGCATGTTGCTCGCCTGCTCCATGTTCCACACCTGGCTCTCGAGCTTGTCCTTCTCCGCCTCGTACGCCTTGCGGCGCTGCAGCACCTTGAGGGCTTTCTGCTTCATCGCTTGCTTGCCGGGGCCTTCGCGCATGCGGGACAGCTTTTCCTGGTAGGCGCCCAGCTCGGCATTGAGCGCTTTGAGTTTGGTGTCGAGGGAGGATATGCGGGTGTCGAGGTTGGTTATGGCGCCGTTGAGGGTGGGTTTGGGGCCCGCGGGCTTGGAGCCGAAGAGGCGGTTCATCTTGACGTTTGGAGGATTCGATAATGAAGAGAGGGTTTTGGCTGTGGCAGTGCGTTGTAGAGGGTAAATGCGCGGTCTGTGTCGTGGAGGTGGTGATTGTAAGGGTCGGAAATGGTGGCCTGGAGAGATGACGTTCACTGCGCACGCGGCTCAAATGGATGGGCGGGACGGGCACCCCGCCTTAGATCTGAGACTCAAATCGAACTACCCTAGAGCTAAAATACGAAAATTCGAGAATGAGAGTTTGGGACACAATTTTGAGATATATTAAGTGAATAAGTTACGGAAATATGTATTAAGGATACTAAGACATGCTTTTTCAATCATACAGTAATTTCTGAAGCCTAACTCAGTACGTTCTTGGTGGGTTGTTGCAATTGTCGCATTCTGCAGTAGAAGGACCCGCAGAAAGTAAACAAACATTCCCGTCAAGCAGAAAAGACCCTGACCTGGTTTAGCACATCCGTTGGTTCCCGCCTATAGCCCAGGATTTTGATCGCGGATGTCAAATTTAATGCTATTGTTCAGTTTGTGGTACTCGAAACGAACCTATGGCTTGAGCAAAGACGTGAACCGTTTCTGGCTCGGGTGAGACATGCTATTACTCGGTATTGGATAAGTTGATTAGATTGCAACAGCCAACCTGCAGGGCAAGGCGAACACTCCAGTGTCATTCATGAAATGTGATTGGTCTTTCGACTCTGTCAGTGTCTAACTCTGATCTATATCTTTAAGCATGTTCCAACGTCTTGGATGACATTTGAAGTCTTGATGCATGATAATGCTAGATTTATCGTCCAATAATGAATACTGGCAATAATATGGAGTGAAATCAATCTCATTTTAGACCCTATTGATCCTTGGCACTCTCATTTACTAGAGGTAGATCGTGGTGGTCTGTGGTTCGACAATGATTACTCGGACCAAACGTAAATGTCATCAGCACCAGTGAATTAACAATTGAGCAACAATAGCCAACAGCAACAAGAATCGCTGGCCTCATAGCAAGTAAAGTCTCATTTGTTTACTTCTGCTTCTCATTGACAAGCCGTCACTGCTCGCCAGCTGCCAGCAGTGGACCCTGAAAGCGGTGACCATTCACGACCCACAATTACCTGGTGCCCACAGACGCGTCTAGCTCTAAGCCCAAAGCGCCTCCATCTTCACAGCCCACATCGAAATTCAATCGCAAAACAAAACAAACTCTCAACTTCTTTGCGCACCAGCACTTGACTTCACCAACGATCTCGTCACGAACTCAACTGCTACTTCGCAAACACTTCCATCACAGTCTTCAGCTTCTGAAGCTATATTTTCACACTTTTCGCATCCTCTTCGCTTCGTTACCCCGTATCGCGGGAGGTTTGTTTACTTCAATCTTCTCTTCCGCGCTGCATCTTTGCGATGGCGGCTGCGGATGTCCCCAAATGGGGGTTTGGGCAAGAGCCCATGCAAATGTGAGTATTTATCCTGATCGTGAAGATATCATGTCGTCCCTTAGAAATACTGACGTTTTATTTGTAGTAAACCAGTTGCTGCCGACTTCATCCCGCACTTCGCGACCACTGGCGACACTCGTGTCGACGCAGGCAAGACGTAGGTTTTCTCGACCGTTGAACTCAAAACAGCCTCACTAACTGTTCTATAGCTTCCTCAAGTTTGGCGCCTTTGCGTTCAAGAAGCCACTTACCCGACCGCCCGCGTGGGAACGGGTCCCTACACAGTCGCTTGCTGCTCCCAGCTCGAACCGACAGATCATGCGCCGAGTCACAGTCTCCAACAGCCTCCAGCTTGATACACCCTTCGTCATTTTCCCAAATGTCTCCGCCATTCCTGTCCCTACTCGTGAGGAGCTCGGTTTCGATCTGACTCTTCCGCGCAAAGTCCAACGCCTAGAATCCTTCGAACCTTGCCCTAGAGGAGCAGTGTTCGAGGATCTGTTGATGTTCTCGCATGCTCAGCACATGCACCATCTCATGAGAGCCAAGGGTAAGCAACTTCTTAAAAAAGCGCTGGATATCGACTTACATTTAAATCAGTTGGTATTGCGAACGGCCTTCTCGAAACTTACTCTGGCCATACACGCGAAGACCTGGAGGCCATCGACCAAGGAATCCGACAAATCGTTCCGCTCAAGCGAGTTGCTAGTCTCATCAGCACCGATCTCATCGATACTGACGGCTCCCCCATTTCCCTGGTGCCCGCCAGAGGAAACCGTCTTCTAACGTACGACGATGTTCTTCGCAAGATCCAGGCTGCCAACGAGTCAGGAAAACAGTCCGTCAACCTCAGGGACGCGTCCATCTCAGAGGTCACTACCGCACTGCAAAACAGTCGTCGGGATCCTCGAAAGCGCCTCGCTGCTCTCGGTGAGCCTGAACTCTCCACTATCTTGGACGAGGAGGAACCAGAGAGTCCCGTTGTTCCGGAGCCTGTTGAGGAGTCTTTCATCTTCCCTAGATCCCCTTCTCCCTCGAAGCGACTTAGTCGTCTCATCACTAGCGACACCATCAAGAAGAGTGTCCGCCGACTTTCGAAGCTTGCCAAACGCATCCATGGTTCTCCTTCCAAGTCATCCCCTTCGAAATCGTCCCCGTCAAAATCATCTCCTACCAAGTCGAAGCGTGCTTCCTCACCTCTCGCCCAGCGTTCTAGCCCTGCCTATGGATCTGCTGCGAAGGACAACATGTCCACGGAGTCCGTCGCTGACTCTCCCACTCGCCCTGGCCGAACTTTCCGAGTGCCATCTGAGTGCGACTCATCTTCTTTCGAAGATACCGGTCTCCCAGAGACCCCTCACAAGTCGTCGTCGCCTGTCATGAACTACTCGCGACCCATCGCTCCCACTCCCTCTCAGTGGAACCGAGCTGAACCCTCAACTCCCGCCACTCCTGCTGCCCAGAGTGCTCCCTTCAACCCCGCCACCCCTCAGCAGACCGACAGTCCCATTGGTCTCGCTGCTCTTCTTCCTGCCATCCTTCCTCCCTCTACTCCCAAGCCACACGGTTGCATACTTGAAGTCCTTGAGCCTAGTGAGACTTTCGACTTCGGGAAAACAACTTCTTTCGGTAGCTCTAACTCGTGGATGTTTTCTTCTCCTCAGCCCACTGAGCCCATTCGTATCAAGGCCGGTAACCAGGCGCGTCGTCGTCGTAGCGAACCTCTGCTCCGCAAGTTCCTCGACACCCGAGCTCGTCGTCTCTCGTCCTCTCCCCAAAAGGTCCAATTCCAACAGGAGGCTATCTTCAATGATGATATTTCCATTGCCTCGCTCTTCGACATCACTTATGAGTCGCCTGCGAAGGCCGCTGCCATCGATGCAGCCGATGAGACTTCTATTCTCGATTCCATTACTTCTCCCTCCAACGAGCCTGCAGCTGAAAGCGCGGCCGAGCACACTCTGCCTCTTGACACAATTATGGAGGAGATCGTTGCCACCGAGGCTGATCCCATTGTGGCAGCCGACGAGACTTGTGTTCTCGATTCTACTACTTCTCCCAATGAGCCTGCAGCTGATAGCGCGGCCGAACACACTCTTTCTCTTGACACACCTATGGAAGAGAGTGTTGCTTCTATTACTTCTTTATCTAACGAGCCTGCAGCTGAAAGCGCGGCCGAGAATACCCTTCCTCTCCCCACTATTACGGAGAAGAGTGTTGCTACCGAGGCTGGTCCCATCGAGGCAGCCAAATCTACCGAAGGCGAGTCCAACTTGGGCCATGCCAGCGTTCTCACTGAGAACCTTTGGTTGCGAGACCTGGATTCTTCAACCACCGTACCTCCCACCAACCGCCAGGACGAGCAACACAGCTCCATCCAGCCACCCACTACTGTTGCCGACTCACCTGTCACCAAGGCTCCCATTTCTTCTGAAGGTGTTGTAAACATCGATGTCCGGGAGAACCCTGACATTTTCGGCACCCAAATCTCATCACCACCTGCTCCTACTCCTATCCAGAATCTTTCTCGCATGGCCGACGATGCCTGCAATGGCCACGCTAAGGTCGTGGTCACTGAGGAAAATGGTAGACTCTTTGTCCGATTTAAGGTGTCGGCCAGATATGCCCACATGTTCCCTGCAAGCCAAGGGTTCAACGATTCTCTCTCGTTCTCTCCATCGGTCGACATTTCTACACCAAGACCCCGACCCTTCAACCCCACTGCGCAGACTCCTGATCTCAATAGCTTCGGTGACGTTACCAGCCCATCTCCCAGCGTAATGCAGACCCCCGAACCTCAATCTACCGAGTCACTCCTCAAGACACCTGAAGTCAACGGTGTCGGTGTTATCGACCGCTCCTCCCCCGGTGAATTTGATACACCTGAACTTCCTCAACATGACAATACTCTTGTCTTCGGCGAGCCTACATCAATCGACCGACCTTCTTCTGTTCAACGGGCTACTCGCCGTCAGAGTGAAATGACCCCATTGAAGCGTGCTACAAGAAACGCAATGGGCATCTCCCAGGGGCCTGACACACCCAAATTCGCCACGCCGGTCGCCGATAATGGCGACGAGACACTGGTCATGGAAGAAACACCCGCCAAGCGGGACGATGAAAGACCTGCTCAGCAGGTCGAGACTCCAGCAGCTCCCCCTATCCAGGAGGTAGAAGCCGCTCCTGCTGCCAATAATGGTGGCCAAGACCTGGACAGCCCAGGTCGGGATTACTTACGCGCTTTCATCAGCCAAAATCGCCGAAGTACCGCTACTGCTGCTGCTACCACGACCAACGAATCCTCAACTACCGCGGCCACAAACACCACCGCCCTCACGCCCGCCGCAGAAATCATTCCTGCCGTCACCACGACCGAAGCAGGGTCCCCAATCGCACCAGCAGCCAAGCGCCAGCCTCTTGGAGCTCGAAGCCCTAACAGGGGTAGCCCCATGAAGGCTAAACGCAAGGCGAATTGTGATAACGACGAGGAATCTCCCGCGAAGAAGTCCAAGATCGACAACGCGGCGAGTGAGGCAAGAGGGTCGACCCGTCAGGTCACTC